TTGCTGTTTTTTGTGATCATTAACTTTTTTTTTTTAAAATTTTTGTCAAAAAACCAGTTTATGTATCAGTTTGGTTTTTGTATCAGGTTCCCCATGCTTCATTTTTTTTTTTTAAAAAAAAAGGCACTTACATTTGGTAGATGAGAAGCACTTCGCCAAAAGCAGTCCAGTGCCGCAAAGTTCTTGGCGATTTTCTCTTTCAAAAGTTTACTTTAAAGGCAGACTGAGGGCAATTTAATCTTGATGCATAATTTCAGGAAAAGTAACGGAAGAACAAATTAAAGCGGGTTATGAGGCACTCAAAAAAATCGAAAGTTTTATCAAGAAAAAGAACTTTTCGTCCAACTTTGTTGAAGCCGTCAACAGTTATTACACGAAAATTCCACACTTTTTCGGGTAATGAAACAGATAATTGTTTTCATCAAATTTCCATTATGTAATACATTTTGATCACTTGTCATTTTTATCCTATTGCCATTTTCGCAGTAAATCGCAAGCCTCAAAGCGTTGTTAAAAGCGAGATTATTTCAACTACAAATCAGCATAGTGATTCGGGCTTTTTTTGTGGAAACAGTGCTTTTAGGATGCGTCAGCCACCACTTATCAAGACCCAGAAACAGCTCAAAGCAGAAATAAAACTTTTGGAAGCACTGAGCGAAATTGGCATGGCTGTACGAACGTTCAAAAAGGAATCGGAAAGAATCGATATTCATCCAATCGATCGCCACTATATGAATATGCAGTGCGAGATTTCAGTTCTTCCGGATGACGATCCTCAATATAAGGTATTGATTTTTGAAAAATTTGAACCTATAGGCATCAGATATACAGTACTGTCGAAAAATAAGCTTTGCGGCAAGCATGTTTTTTACGAGTTTATTTTGACGGGAAACATGAAATCGTAGATTTTTTTTGTTGGCCTTTACTTTGGTTTTCTTGTGGAATATGTATCATGTGACGGAATACCAAGCGGCTTTTAATTTATTCTCTCAGCAAAATTTTCCCTTTGATGTGATTTTGTTTCCCGGGAAAATAATTTGCATGTATTTTTGTCGGAATATTCAGCATCTGAACGAGAAAGACAGGAAGCTGAAATCGTGAATGTGGAGTGCTTGATCCCTATTGCATGGGTGACGAGTGCCTGTAATGTTTGATGCTTGTTTAGCTGCTGTTTCATTGATACTAAATCACTTTTACTCACTGACAGATCCGATGGGGAGAGAGGTGGTGGAGCGTGGAACATCTTGAGAACCGGGGGATCGGG